TATATATATATATATATGTATATGTATATTACACACATAAATTATATTATATACACACACTTATCATTAAAAACTTAACTTATAATAGTTTTATCGTGCTTTCAGCAAGTAACTAGACTATGACAGCGATGGATTCCGATTCTGAGAGTCAAGATAGCGATGACGGACGGCGATTTCGTTTCGAAGCTACGCGCAAGGATTCGGCCGCGACTGTGGATATTACGGACCGAGCAAAGACGTCTAAGAGACATAAATCATCTCATGGCGAGAACTATCGGGACAGGAAGGAACGATCCAAACACGAGAGCAAAACGGATGACAAGGTTCTCAGACATTTCACAAAGCATTCGAAACACGAGTTGAGAAACTTGAAACAGGAGGATAGTAAAAATTCGCACAAAGACCACAGGGAAAACAGGTCTGGATTCGCCACGAATGACAGAAGTTCCAGAAATTCCAACGGGGGTGACGCGAGGGAGAGATCGCGTGATTCGAAACGGCAATTAGACAGGGATCGAAGCGTCCACCGGATGCAACGATCACGGGAACACTCGTACGAGAGGAACCATCACGACGAGCGAGCGTCAAGCGATAAGCACCGAGGTCGGTATCACGAAAGACACAAGCATCGTTCTCGCGACAGGAGTCGAGATAGATCTCATCAGTCCAATAGAGTCAAGTCCTCGAATGATGATCATCGGTCTCGAGAAGATCACGGGAGGCATGATTCTTCCAGGAAGCTATCAAAGGAGAACAGGTCACAGAATTCAAGGGATTGTTCCTTGCCTAAGAACACCGAACGAGAGCGCAGTCACAGTGAGACTCGCTCGAGCGAGAATACTAAGAAGGATTCGTCGATAGAGATTCAAGACTGCAAGGATTTGGATCTGTCGCAATTCGACGTTCTATCGGAGACCGATGAGAACATGTCCGACAGTCGGGATTCCGAGAGCCGAACGTTGTCTCCGCACTCGCGTAAGATCAAGTTGAAAAGACATGATTCCGAAATCCGGTCGGAAAGTTATCCAAAGCGAAAGAACGACGACGAAGTCAGCACGAGAAAACTGCGGGAGGAATTAAAGGTAAAAAGAAGGAGTTATGATCCGGCATCTAGTTCCAGTAATAATAATCCTAGTGCCGTTTCAGATTCCTTACTCAACTCCGCATCGCACACGGCACTCTTGGTAGAGAGAGAGGCTTGTATGGACTCTGAGAGAGAAAAGTCTGAGTATCGTGAAGAGGAAAAAATGCTTATTTATGATAATAATATCGAATGTTCGAACTCGAGAGAAAGATATTTGCGCTCTAATGCTTCTTCGGACGAATACGATTACGAAAAGAATATGGATCAAGCCAGACCCACGTATGGTCCGCTTTTACCACCAGAATTTGCATCTAATGCGTCCGACGGTAATAAACTTGATTCTGAGATAAATATTCTCGAAGATAAAATTAACGATGAGGTCGTTGGAAAAAATATGAATTTTATTGGACCTCGTTTGCTACCTCAGTTAAACGATCGTCAAAGCATAGAGCGAGAAGATGCAGTGGATGCTGTTTTCGGGCCAGCACTGCCACCACATTTGTTACAACGACAACAAAAGAAAGATTCGCTAGATAGAATTATCGGTCCTGTGCTACCTGATGTTCTGAAATCGCGTGAAGAAGGTTTGATCGCGTCTCCGAATTCCGACGACGATTCTGCGATAGGACCTCTACCTGTGGATCATCCAGCTCTAAGAACTAGCCGCGTACACGAGCAATTAGATTTAAGAGCACAAAGAATTAGGAATGAAAAATATTCGGAAGAGGTAAAGAAAATTTTTTTTTTTTAGATGTCCATATTTTTATTTTTTTATTGTCTAATTATCCTAGGAAAGATTTAAGTTTTTATTCTTGCTCTCGTTGTATTCTTATAAAAGTTCTTGTATATAGAATAATACAGAAATAAAGCCGGATATTTAGTATAAGACAGCTATCCAGTATCTGAATAAATTGCTATTGGGGATTATTAGTTTCGTCAACGAGAAAGAAATGTATTTATATTTCAGATGGATATCGGAAATAAACGTGAGGAATGGATGACTGAGTTACCACCCGCTCAAGCTGCTAATCTTGGATTAGGTCCGCGCAAATTCAGACTTCGAGATGGTCCAGATATGTCGGATAGATCATGTTGGACTGATACACCAGCACAAAAAGCTCAGAAGCAGATGGACTTGGTAAATATAAGAAATATGCTACTATACATCTCTGTTTTCAATTACAAATGTGAGGTATTTTATTTATGTTACCATGAAGGTTTTAGAATTTTATACATATACAGTAGAACTCCGTTTATCTGAATTGTCCGTTGGGAGGACAAGAAAATTCCGATAACCAAATAATTCGGATAATAAAGGCTCATTAGTCTCCCTTTTATCAGTACTTATTAGTTAAT